AGTGGCTCATGCCTTAAATCCTATTCTCTGGGAGACCAAGGAGGTGATGCTCAAGGTTAGGAGTTCGAACCAGACTGAGCAAGAGTGAGACCCATCTCTACTAAAAATGAAAGAAAATAATTGACCAACTAAAATATATAGAAAAAATTAGCTGGGCATGTAGTGCTGGCTGTAGTCCAGCTACTCGGGAGGCTGAGGCAGGAGGATACCTGAGCCAGGAGTTTGAGATTGCTGTAGCTAGGCTGATGCCATGGCACTCTAGCTCGGGCAACAGAGTGAGACTCTGTCTCAAAAAAAATGTAACTTTTAGGCTGGGCATGGTGCTCAGGCTGTAATCCTAGCACTCAGGGATGTAGAGGTGGGAGGATCGCTTGTGCTTAGGAGTTTGAGACCCCTCATTGTTGCCAGGCTAGAGTGAGTGCCGTGGCGTCAGCCTTAAACACTGCAGAACTATATAACCCTCTAAACCTGCAGATTTGATAATAAGGCCAAGAGAGAGAATTTTCCTATCATGCTGAAATAAGTGTCACAACATTTGTGGCTAAATAACCAGAATTCTTTTAGAGCAACTTAAAATAATAGGAGCACTAATAATGTGGCTTGATTCTTTACTTCCTAGGAGACAAAATGGCTTTACGGTCTACACAAAATTTTTGGTCTGTACAAAATAGAAAAAATCTTCTGGGTGTGGTGGCATGTGCTGTAGTCCCAGCTACTCAGAAGGCTAAGTCAGGAGGATCGCTTGACCCAGGAGCTGACGTTGCAGTGAGCTATATGACACCACTGTACTCTACCTGGAGACAGAGCAAGATTCTGTGCAAAAAAACAACACTTAAAAAACTGCCAGAATATAGGTAAAAGGATGAAGCAGATTTTTTTTCTTGCAACTAGTGTTTGACAGCTACAATTTAGGCATCAAAAATACAGAGATGGCAGGCGCAGTGGCTCACGCGCCTGTAATCCTAGCACACTGGGAGCTCGAGGTGGGTGGATCGCTCAAGGTCAGGGCAGTATCGAACACAGCTGAGCGAGACCCCATCTCTACTAAAAAAAAAATAGAAACTCAATTGCTAACTAAAATATAACACAAAAATTAGCACAGGCATGGTCGGTGCACTGCCTGTAGTCCCAGCCTGCCTTGGGAGGCTGAGGGACAGAGGATCGCTTAAGCCCAGGAGATGAGCTTGTGCCTGTGGCGTAGTTGCTGACGCCAGCGGCGCACTCACGCATATGCCGTGAGGCAACAAAGTGAGACTCATGTCTGCAAAACACTAGGTGTATTATAAACATAACCAAGTTTAAAGTGTTTGAACCTTCATCATCCAGTGAATTTGTAGAAAAATGGAAAACAACTCTTGAAAATTATCCTGAATTCTGAATTCACAGATTATTTTCTTAGATTTCCAATTGCTCATTCTTTGTCTCCTTCAGTAGTCCCATCTTCTATCTCCTTATGGTGAATATTATTAGTTACTAAGACTTAAGTCTTCAGCCTGCAGTTTTATTTTCCTGTATCTTTTACTTAGAAGAATTCATTCATTACCTCTGACTTCAACCATCATCTCCAATCTAGTCTCTGTGCCTACACAGTAGTTTCATATCATTATCTGATTCTGGTATCTTCATTTTATTTTCTACCATTGCCTCAAACTCAGCATGTCCAAAACCACAATAAATAACTTTTATTTACTGCCAAAACAGTCCCTTCTTCCAACTTTGTTAATGGAACTCCCCAGGATAAATACCTTAGAGACAGCTTTAGCTCATTTCTTTTTTTAATATTCTACATTTCTACACAATAACCAAGTTTTATCAATTAATTGCTCCTTCAAAATGATTTTTATATTGACCATTTCTTTCTTTCCACAGCCATTCTAGTCCTGGCTCTTAACTGTCAACATCTATTACAAATAACTTAAAAGACTAGGTATCTAGCCTCCCTAACTCCAGTTCATCTTGAAGAAAGAGCTCTTCAATATTCCTTTGATTACATCACTTCCTTTTCATAAATCTTTAGGAGCTTCTCTCATCTCCTGAATTAATTCTAATTTTTACTTGGCTTTTGAATTTATACAAAATTTGGCCACTCTGCCTATTAACAGTTTCTCATTGTTTTCTAACAGTTTCTTTGTTGTTGGATAGATAGTCTTACATTTGAATTGTCTCACATTTTTCTCCTAATTACCTATAATATTCCCCTTTCCCCATTACCTAATTCTATACCCATTATTTATGAATTAATGCAAATTTCACCCCCTCAATGAAATTTTCCCTTATTGTCCTAGTCATAATTGAGCTCCCCTTCTCCAAATTTGTACAGGGATTTATGTCCATATACAATTTATTAATAAATAGGAATTGCTTTGATTATAATTACATAGGTATTAACAGATTTTAGTACTAGTGTCTCCTACTAAATTAAGTTTCCTCTATAGCTCTAGTCCATCTATCATGCAATTTAAGTCCACATATGCATACAATCTATACATCTGTTTACCTTGAATCTTTGGCAGACGGGTACAAAAGGAAGGGTACTGTATAGTTTTGACTATGTACACTGCAAAACAAATAAAAGGATATTGGTTTAAATGGCAATTATTTTTTGACTGTGAGACAACCAAAATCTTACAAGGCACCTAAGGAAGAAATAAGCAGCTTCATACTAAACAAGTTATATTTTATTTATGTTCTCAGTGTAAAAATCTTCAATGAATACAAAATATTTTCCACTATAACAAACTATAATCTTTTGCTGAGAAATATGTCATACAGTGTAGCTTACTATTAACAATACAGGCAACTTTGTGTGTGTGTACTATAGGTAATTTAACACCTAAATCCAAATTAAAAGACATAAAATTATATAATACCACATTTTGAATTAAGTCACTATTAAATTCTAAAAATAAGAAAGTTTTTTTGGCTTCTGACTAAAGTATTTTATTTTATTGTAGAACAACATACATTATTTCATTAAATAAGTAAAAGCAAGATGGGTATTTTTTACTCAGCTACAGCATTCTCTTTTCAGACTTGACAGAGCGCGTAACTGTGCACAAAGTATTCTTAATGTTTCCACCCAATAAAGAGGGGAAAGACTGACTGCTTCAAAGTAATGCCACAGTTACTATTTGAACATAATTGTTTATACTACCTGCTCAGTCACGCCAGGATGTCGTGGGATTTCATAGGTTCTGCATTTAAGCTGAAGAACTGCGTCCTCATTCAAAAGCTGTGCAAGCAAGAGCACACCATTCTAGGAGGAAGCACAGAGAAGGGCCCTGCTTGTTTTCTTACCAATACACCTGAGCAGGTATGGCCAGGCAGAATACCATTTCCCCAATAGTTTTCTACAGATACCAGGTACTCTCTTTTCAGACTACAATTGCTCTCCTCTGTATCTTCTCTCAGAACTTTTCCACTGCCTGTCCCAGCCTCTACCCCGCATAAAGCATCAACTACAAATTTCCAAACAGCAGGTAATGAAGCCACAAACTAGTTTAACAGGGAGGCAGTCAACTGTTGTTTTCGAACTGCTGAAAACTCAACCTACCTCAGTGTAGAAGCGTACGTAACCTGAAGTAAAACCCACCACGATGCAGGTCCAGTCGGGACGTCCAGTAGAACTCCTGTTAAAACAAAATTGATGATCTTAACAGCTCATATATCAAAGCAAAGAAAACAGATAACCCTTATTTATCCTTACCTCTTTTGGCTTGCTAGTGGGATACATAAAGCACTGGTTACACATTCCCTAAAAGACAAAAACAAAATCATGTTTATCCACTGAACTCATCAACTACTTTTATTTCTCTATATCTGATGTTAAATGGTAGTAAGTGGAAGATGACCTCCGTGGACCAGTTTTATTCAATGCATAAGTAAAAATACAATAATATTCCACCATAAGTAGGGGCCATAAAATTCATTCACATAAAATATAACATCACATGTGTTTGAGGTTAATAAAAAACGAGATTTAGTCAGGAGCAGTGGCTCATGCCTGTAATCCCAACAATTTGGAAGGCTGAGGTGGGAAGATCGCTTGAGGCCAGGAGTTTGAGACATGCCTGGGCAACGTAGTGAGAACTCATCTCTTAAAAAAACAAAAAAATACCAAAAAGCCCAGGATTTTTCATTCTTATTGTCAGGAAAAGCATCAAAATAAAGAAAGCAAAACTTTACTTATATGAATAATTGTATACAGTCCTTAGAAAATCTCAAATGATCAGTAGGCCATCATTTCCTACCATCCCCTTTCTCCTCTGCTTCAGCCAAGAACTTCAGCCTGCTTCCTTGTTAGAGATCAGGGGCTTGGCAGAGGGTCAAAGAACTACTGGTCACACTACATGCAAACTGCATTTCTGCAGGATACATTGTTTTAGGGACTGACTTTATTTCGACTTGCTGGTTTCTTCTTTTGCAGAAATGGCCCCAATAACCATTTATAAGCATATGTTAGGTTTGATGTTCCCTAAAAAATATTTTTTTTTCCCCTGGCATGTAGACTTGAAATATTTGTCAGGAGCTCAGAGCCTAAGTCTCAAAGTCAAAACAACTCCTATCGACTGACTTTGTTTGACCTGTCAAGCCTGAGGGCCAACACCAGCTTATTCAAGAAACTATAAACACTCCTGCTCTCGGAGTGTAGTCATACTAGGTAACAAAAGTAATCTTTGTGCTTGTTTAAAGTAATACGTTTGCTTTGCACTTCTGACAGAAATTAAATGTCTTTAAAATGTTTTGACTAATTGACCTAAGGAGAAATATCACTTATTTTGACAATAGCAGAAAGCATTTCATTGAGTATCTAATGTGCCAGGCATGTACTAGGCACTTCCACTTGGTTGTTTTTTGTCTGAATTCAAAGTTTGAAGGATCTTCTTATTCGTTCTGATAAGACAGTTTTTAGTCATAAAAATTTAAATGAAAATTTTAAATGAAAGTTTCAGGCCCAAGGTTCTAGGTGAGCAGCTCTATCATATAACCACACCAGAGATCATGGTTTTAAAGGTTTTACTGGGTCAGCAGGAAACTTAAATGTACCAACTTGCACTTCTGAAGTATTTATGAGTTTTAAGAATTAATGTAGCATTGTACCCTTCAAGTACAAGCCCAATACCAGCAGAGCAGAGAAAATAATGACTGCCCTTGACATTTTTGGATGAATAAAATTAGTAATGGATAACAGAGAGAAAAGACAAAATGTAAAAAGGATTTTATGGGATTCTTACTGCTTTCTTCAAATCTTCAAACAGAAGATTTTTTTTTAATCATATGCAAAATTAAATTTGCTGACTGAATCATTCTCTACAACCTCTAAAGATACTAAAGATACTAAAGATACTAAAGATACTACACATTTACTAAACATTCCAAATAATGAAACTTCTTAATACATTCTCTTATAAGTCAAACAATTACATACATACATTTAACATACAGAAAAAAAAATTAACTGGTACCTACCCTTCTTCAACATTTAAAGAACCACTCCAACCAACAGCAAATTGCATTTCTTCCTTTCCTTTATCACTATATTTCCATTTTGCTGAAAAAATTAAGATATCATGTAAAATAACTAAAATAGTAATTTACAAATTTTGCTCTTTCCCTTTAGCATGATAAGTACAAAATTTAATAGTTCTGTATTAACTGATTTGGGGCTTTTTACAGGTAAATATAAAATAATGCTTTAACAATTTTATAAGATTTTATAAAATCACCTAGTCTCCTGGTCTCTCCTTCCTGCAATTAAACCGATATAATGGTGTCACAGTTCTTGCAGAATAAAGTTATTAATTCCTATGCCCACCCTACCTGTATTATTTATAAGACTATTTTTATCATCAGACGCAAAGAAGAATTTTCTATTAGATTTATGCTACTGGAAAGTAAATTTGCTTTGTAAGACCATTCCATGGCCATTTTATACATAATCTATTTAGTCAGTAGGATTTTTCATATCCTATATATCCTCAAACCTTAATTTTAATCTTCAACAAAAAATTATAAGATGAAAATTTATGCCCCAAACAGAAATCTGTAATATTACAAGATTTCAAATTATAGTTGAAAATCACACTGTTACTAAGAAAAGGTCAGTGACCTTTTTTAGCTCTGTCCCTTGAGATATTTGGGCAATGTCCAGCACTGCCTCTGAAATACCAAGAAAGACAGCTAAAGTATCAATAGCCAAGAAACAAAAATAGAGAGGAAACAAACAGAATAGAAAGGAGAGATATAGAGAGGAGAGAGAGAGGGAAAAAAAAAAAGGAAAGGAAATAAAAAGTGTTATATAATATATAAAATACAAGGCCATATATGGTGGTTCACGCCTATAATGCCAGCATTCTGGGAGGCTGAGGCAGGAGGATCACTTGAGGCCAGGAGTTCGAGACCAGCCTAAGCAAGAGCAAGACCCTGTCTCTACAAAAAATAGAAAAATTAGCTGGATGTCGTGGCATGCTACTTAGAAGGCTAAGGCAAGAGAATTGGCTGAGACCAGGAGTTTGAGATTGCAGTGAGCTATGATGATTCTACTGCACTCTAGACTGGGCAACAACAGAGTGAGATTCTGTCTCAAAACAATAAATAACTACACACATACATACATATATACATACTACAGATGCCACCGTATAATGCATACAATAGAAGTAACATTTTTTTTCTACCTTATCCATTTTCTGTTCCATCCTATGCATTAAAATAAAGGCCACTAAAAGTAATAGGATACTTACGCACTAGAAATACAGCTTTTTGCTCCCGAGCTATGACCATAAGATCATTGGTTGGAGACAGGGATAAAACACAATCTTGGAGCCAGGAAGTTTTTTGTGTTTTGCATGTATTTCCTTCTTCTTCCTGAGGATAAAACTACAGTTACTGTATATGCAAAAATATCAAGAGTATTTCAACTTAGCTTGTCTGTTTTGAGGGGAAAGGGGGAAGAAAAAAAGGAAAAGATATCTTTCCAATTCTCTTATAGAGGTTCATAAAGTCAAAGATGACTGACAAAATACCCACTAGAAACAAATCTCAGTTTTGAATATTAATGCAAAAATTTTAAATATAAACAAATACAAACTAGCAAGGTATTAAAAAAAGGTCACATAAGGATCACTTCAGGAATGACTTAATATTAGGAAATTCAGTGAATAGTCCTATTCAGAGAGAGACAGCTACGGTATCTCCAACTAGAGAGCAATGAAAAAAATATATGAGATTATTAAGGTTGTAGGATCTATTAAAGTATTTTATACAATGTGATGCTTCCTTTTTTTATTTGACCTGCATGGTGTTTTCTTTTTTTCCATTCGAAATTTATTATATAGGTAAATCCTCATGGTTAAAAATTCAACATATGTAACAAGGTCTTCTTTGAAAAATCTCTCTCATACTTTTGTACTCTAGCTACCTAGTTGTTAACTCTAGAGACCAAGCAATCAGTTCTTATTTGTGATTCCAGAGATACTTCATGCACATAAAAACAAATACATTTTCTACCCTTTCCTCCCTTTTTATTGCAAGAATGGTAGCATTATATATATATATATATATATGTAATTCATATATATCTTAGACTTCATTCCATATGAACTTTCTTTATTCTTTTTTAATGGCTGCACCATAATTTGTTTAACCAGTCCCCTATTGATGGACATTTGTGTTCAAAATCTTTTGCTATTACAAACTATCATATTTGTCAGTTTGTTTGTGTGGAAATATATCAGGAGGCTAAATTCCTAGAAGTGAAATTGCTGGGTCAAAGGGAATGTGTATTAGTATATTTGCTACATATTCCCAAATTGTGCCCCATACATGCCATCATAATTTTTAATCCCACTGGCAATTTTTGAAAGTGCTTGCTTTCCTGTAGACTTTTCAAAAGATGTTTTAACTCTGGATCTGTGATCTGTGTCAATCTAATAGGTAAAACATGGTTATCTCAGCATACTTTTATACTGCATTTTTTCTTATGAATGAAAATAGGCATTTTCTCATATATTTAAAGGCATCTTTTTTCATATGCTTAAGAAAAACTTCTCATTTTTATAGAAAGGAAAGGAACAAACTGAATAATTTTTAATGAACAGTTTCTTGTGTAGATTGCCTATTAGGTTTCTGCTTTTGCTAACTAATTTGCACACACTCTTTATATACAAGAAAAATTGGCCCTTTGAACATAAGAGCTGCAAATATTCATAGTTTTTCCCAGTAGAAATAATGCCACTAACAAGGATTGGATCTGATGTTTACCTGTGTAGAAAAGACAAAGTGACAAAGAATTTCAAAGATGGAAAGCATTTAGAGACCAACTGGTCCAAAACCTTACTTTATAGTAAAGAAAATGGAGTCTCAGGGAGGCTTAAGGATGGGCTTCCAGCCACAGAATTAGTGTCAGAGCCCAAACTATTAATAGAATCTCAGCCTCCTGACTCTTAATTCAAGTGGTCTTTCTGTCCTATCATTCTGCTCATCTTTGTGGATAGCTATAATACCTTTTTGAGAAGCCTTTCTTCACTTGGGATTTGACTCTAGTCTCACAGTCAGTGAAAAGCCTTTTCTCAAAAAGAACTACCTTATTACTTATCGCTTTATTCTAGGATAATCTTTTTGCAGTTCTTTGAACTAATTAAAGATGACTACTATACGTAAATGTGTCAGTGAGTGTATTCTTGAGTTATTGCTTTAAGCACGCCTTCAAAAATACTTTTCCCTCTCCTTTCTGTCTTTCCATTTGCAGTTCTAGTTCCTGTGGCAACCTCATCCTACTCTTTTACCTTCTTTCAAATGTACTACAATTGAAAGTCCTAATACTCTCTGCTACCTATTTATCTATTCAGTGACTGCATTTCTCCTGTACTAGACTAGAAGCCCATTTGTTGGCAAAGCCTATGCCTTATATTACTTTTCAACTCCAAATATAGCACAGTCCACTAGTAGCATATATGAGTAAATAACAGCATTCCCTGTCTTTTGTATTCACAAAGATGTTTGAATAACCTACTATCTATTCCTGCACACGAAACTGTATGACAATGAACAATCAATTCAAAGCCAGTATATGCAATCCTTAGTAATGTTTTCTCCTAAGTGATATTATGATTTAACAGTTCAAGATTCTGACTGACATATCCACGGTAGAAAAAAGTTAGACACAAGAAAGGATAGAATGTGCTGTATCACAGCCTTCTTAGTTGAGCCTAGAATTCAGTGTCAAATTATAATCAAGCTCCGTCTGCCCCTATCCCAACACATAGACTGTAAGCAACCCCAGAAGCAAACATGAATTTCTAACCATGATGAAAGCATGGGAAATAGAAAGATGTCACTTGGTTGTAAGCAAATTCAGAAAAACTATTCCACAGTCATTGGTTATATCCCTAACTTGCTTAGCCATCTCATAAATGTACATTTTTAGTTACATGAAGCCAGAAAATGAAGCTTCATGTAGACTAAGCACTCTGGTTTCATCTAATGATGATAAAGGAATATACAGGCAGAAAACCAAAATCTTCACTTCATTTTCTTTTCTATGTTCTCTCTACCTCTCCATCTTTCCTTGCAACTGTGGGACTGCAAGTAATCCTCCCATTTTGCCACAGTAAAGGTAGGATGTGTACAGTGGGCACCCCATACTATAAACAGGTTAGAAAATACTACAATATTATATAATATTACATTATCTCATCATTACGGTTTGATGTCCCATAAAATTCTAGACCTAAAGCTTTAGTTACGCTTTTCAAGTATGATGCTCCCTTGTCACAAAATGCAATGGTGTTGTGCTCTCAATACAAGCTCCATACATCTTTTGACCCACAGCCACATGGGGAAGCACCTATATAGCCTTGTAACTGCAAGCTCCTGGTCACATGTAACTCTAAGGTAACTCTTCTTTGTGACTAATGCACAATACTCAATGCATCAGACTCAATAAGATAAAAAGTCTCTAATGACAATAACCAAAATCAAATAATATTCTTAAAATTATAAACAGAGGTAAAAATTGATCATTTCCCCACAAGCTTAGCTATTCTCCCCTAAGCAGAGTAAATTTTACCGTAAGATTATGAAGCAAATGTAAAGCAGAAATCCGCTGGAGGTGTAGGGAGTGGGGGAAGAAGAAATTTCAGGTAAATCAAATTTCTTTCAATAAATTCAAGAAATCCCTTGGTACATCAAGAGATTAATAATGAACATATGATATACAAAGATAAACAAAGAACAAATGCATAGAAAAGACGCCCAGAGTACCCTAGTGTGACAACCCAAACCATCCCAGACATTGTCTCCTGGTTTGGTACAAAATTGCCCCTAGCTGGAAACCATTTGTCTAGGCAATGGAAGGAAGGTCAAAGCCAGGCTAGGCTGGGCCAGAGAGTCCTTACTTAGAGCTGAGTTGACACAGGAAAAAAAGTTCTTGAGGAACCAGTAAAATGCGCAGGGCAGGCGGCAACAGAAATACAAATCAAGAATAGAGTATGAGTCTGTCTGAAATAGTTCCTGTGTCATATTTTTCAGGGAAGCCTCAAGTCTAAGCACAAATAACTCGATGAAAATATTGGTATAGTGGAGATGAGGAAATCCCATCTTTAAGCTGCATCACAATGATCTAGTAGGAGGTTTCACAACAAAACTTGATTCCAGTTCATCAAGAAAGCTCAGGCAAGAAACAGGACTGTAAACAACAATGCTCTCTGAAGCCTAATAGAGCATGAGCACACATTTGGTGGCTGACAAGATGCAAGCTCATCATTTGGTTTTGAACCATAAAGGCATCTGCCTACTAATTAGGTTTTTGGAAAGCCTCCCCCAACAATAGGGGGCCCATAGTCACTAAAATTGCTCCCTTGAAGCTAGCGATCCTAAAATTTAACAAGGTAGTTCATAGTTCATTTCCCAGGCGAGGTATGAAATTTTTTAAAAAAGCACCTCACTATTAAAGGTACTACTACACCAGGAATCACCTTGGTTTTCCACAAAAACTTGCACCTAGTTACTAAAATTAACACACTAAATTCATCCATAAACTATAAAACATAATTCCATTGTGGAGATTTTCTATTAATCTATAATTATATTTTAGTGTGGCCAAAACTCAAGGATTTTCTTTGAATTAAGACCAGTAAAAATATTTTCTTAATCTGCACAAATATGGAAGTCACTAATATGGACTAGGAAAAGGAATTCTTTCTTTTTTTTTTTTTGAACAAGAGTCCTCGCTTTGTTGCCCAGGCTAGAGTGAGTGCCATGGCGTCAGCCTAGCTCACAGCAACCTCAAACTCCTGGCTCAAGCAATCCTCCTGCCTCAGCCTCTCAAGTAGCTGGGACTACAGGCATTCGCCACCATGCCCGGCTAATTTTTTTGTATATATATTAGTTGGCCAATTAATTCTTCTATTTATAGTAGAGACGGGTCTCACTCTTGCTCAGGCTGTTTTCAACTCCTGACTCTGAGCAATCGCCGCCTCGGCCTCCCAGAGAGCTAGGATTACAGGCGTGAGCCACCGGCGCCCGGCCCAGGAATTCTTTCTTAACAACTAGGACTAGAGCACATACTTTCAAAATTTATTTTCTTTTGGTTTTAAGCCCACAAATTTGTCAAGTGCTTATTCTTTCACAATGTAGCAGATTAGGTGAAATTGCAGTAATTTAACCAGCCTTTCAATGATAGCTGGCCATTATAGGGGCTGGTAAATTATCACTGGGTAAACAGAGTGGCTAATATTTTTGGTTTATCACAGCCATTGAAGTAGCCAGGAGTGGTTTTTTTTAAAGCTTTTAAATTTAGTACAATTTACAATTACAATTTATGTTGTTACTGTCATTATGTTAACTTCACAGATATCTATCTATAC